ACCAACCTGATCCGCTATCTACTGTCCCGCCCAAACACAGAACCAGTTGCAGGCCCCAGTTACCCAGACTGCCCAGAATCACTCAACCCAGCTGCCAATACCTTTAGCCAGGGAGGTCAAACCCAGATGGGTCCTGGGCAAGGAGCAGATTGGCCTGTTCTTACTCCGGATTGGACTATTGCTACTCCAGGCCCGCATTACCCCCCCCGTACCAGCTGCCGGACCCAGTACAGTCCCAGACACCCTCCACCTTACAAGCACCATCCCAAGATGGACCCCCTCAACCCGATGATCATAAAGACATGTTGCCAGTATGTTCCCCTGCCTCATCCGCCACGACAGAGGACAGTGCTGATTATTCACATAGTTATTCACCAACCACCCCACCACCTGTTAAGCCACGTCAGGCTAGCCCACCACCTCGGAATGTGGGTCACCTGAGCGTGCACGGGCTAACACCGACAACCCACACTCTCCTAGAGAAGGAGTACAATGTGGACCCAGACGCAGTAGAAATCTGCCTCCGTTGTCTGCCAGATGGAGCACCAGTAACAGCACAACATCTGAAACTGACAGCCGAGCTGCGTAACCAGCTTCATTTTGTTCCCTCATTGCCTTTTCGCCGGCTGGTGCGTAGCCTTCCCCTCAACCTGCGAAAGAGGCTTCGCAGAGTCCACCACGGTACCTACGCGATCAGGAAGGGAGAAAATAAGGGAATGCACAAGGCGCACACAATATATACAATATACAATCACTGTATACGAATGTCATTCTACACCCTTATGCCACAAGATGATATTACTAGGCTAGCTCTTATTCTCTATGACTTATGTGTGATATGTGTGTGATATCTACTAATGATCTACTGATATAATCACTGGAAAATGAAATTATGTATGGTGCTAACAAATCTTAAGCTAATGGTGTGGGACTATACAGTCCCAAAGGGGGGATATATATATTTTCACCCCTTTTTTCTGTGATTTAAAAGTGTTGTGTGGGACTATAGAGCCCCAAAGGGGGGAATGTAGTGTCAAAGTCAAAACCCTCATCAGGTGTTAGACCATATAAGCGGGATAAGATACAAATAGCTATATAACCATGTTAGTGTGTAGAGTTTTACAAAAACTAATACTGCATTTATGTGTAATATGCAATATAATGGTGTGAACTCTTAGCGACATCTCAGTTGTAAATTCTTATTGACATACATAACCTATCACGCTCTGTGTAATGATATAATGCACTGACCTACACTCACATGATGTTGTGAACTTACAGTGACACTCATACAAGCTGCCACATGCTGTGTAAAGAAGATAGCACACTCACTTGATTGTACTTCCTAATGCACTTAAGAGTTTATATTACACTGGAAAGGTCACACACACACTCAAATGATTGTATTACTTAATGTGCATGTAATGGTTCATATTACACGGGAGCCCGAGGGACTGTAGCATGTAAGTCCCCAGAGATCACATGTTTTTAAAAAATAGAGTGAGAGCGATTCCGGAAATACTGGTGGCAGATTCCAGTTTGAGCCGGAACAAAGGCAAAAGTCTGCTACCAGTAAAAACGGATCGAAATGGGAAGGACTACAGAAATGGGTGGAGATCTCTTCGACCTCCACCAGCATATAAGCCAGAGCGCCGAAAGCAGGTTTTCAGTCGTCCTCCGGAGGCTGACTCGTGAGTTTGTCTGTGTTGTTGCCTGTGAACACAATAAACTCGATTGCACCAGATTCTGCCTATCTCCAGTGTTTTTCTAAGTACCTGCCAGCCGAACCTAAGATACTGAATTGACAACAGAAGACATTCTAGAAGAAACAAGGAGGACAGGGTCGGGAGCCATCAGGCCCAATTCCAGGCACCGATTTTTGTCACTTCGCCACGCAGTGAATGCCCAAGGATGACACTGAGGTCCTTGTCCAGCTGCTGCCAAACTGCTACCTCCTTTGCTTTTGGCCATTTGACCGGCTGCCTCTGCCCGGGTCCTTTCCTCTCGGTTCTCTGGCTTGGCTCCTGGTTGGGGATGTTTGTTGGTGTTCTGGGTGTGTTTTTGTCGATGCCACTCTCAGAGGCATTGGTGTCCACTGAGGGCCCTTCTGTGTCCTCCACCTCCCTTCCTTCAGCAATGTTGGATCCCTCAGCGCTGTGGTTTGCGACCTGGCTTTGGGTTCCTCTTGTCTGACCTGTGGTAGCAGTGTTGCTGCTGACGTCCCACTTCACACCCGTTCTTTCCCTGGTGGATCCGTAATCCTCTGAAAGTGGTCACCTTCTCCCACCCACACCTGCATCTTCTCATGATCTTAGAACCTTTGCCTGTGTCTGTTCCGGCTCATTACCAAGAAACCCGTCCATTTTGGCCCTTTTTCCACCCCGCCTCTCCGACGGCCCTTGTGTTGTTTTTTCCTTTTTTCATCTTCATAGTCAGTTTAGGGGTGTCCCTTGAGGGACTAGTGGGTAAGGTAACCAGCCTGCCACTCCCGATACAGATTTTCCAGATCATCCAGGCCCTCCTAGCTGTCCTCCAGTCTTCCCTGGATGCCAACTGCCTTTTCACAGGAGTCACTGGTGAATCCAGATTGAACTGTTCATGATACAGGTGAGAGAGTTAGCTCAAAGTACCCACTTCTTTCCTTTGTCAATGTCCTGACCACATGGCCAGGCAAAACCATCCCCCGATCTTAAGCCAGCTTCAATTTGGCCATCCTGTAGTTCTCTGTTGTCAGCCATTTTGTTTTGTAGGCCAAATGGCCCTTTGTTCCACACACCAGTCTTTGTCTCTCCCACTCTCTTTCTCTCTGTCTAGAGGCGGACTGGCCATCAGGAGTACCGGGAGTTTTCCCGGTGGGCCGCTGCGTCAGTGGGCCGGTACAGCCGGACTGAGAAAAACAAAAAACACCAAAAAAAACTTTTGGCGCAGTTGGGTTGGCCTTTAATATGATAACCAATGTTTACAGTTTCTCTAGTGTCTGGCTAATGACCCACATGGGTGTGTCACACCCCTTTCACCTCAGTCCTGGGGCTGTTGGCCAATCACAGCCGAAGGCCGAGGACCTCGGTCCCTCCTTCCTAGGCATCTGTCAATCAATCAATCATACACACATGCAAAAATGGAGAAGAAACAGAAAGGAGGAGCGGAGAAGTTGAGAGACAAACAAAGGCAGGCACTACAGGCAGATGCTGCCAACTGTCAAAAGCTGACACATTTATTTTCTGCTGCTGCATCTCAAGCAGGACATTCAGCATCCGCAGCAGCACCTGCAGCTCTCGTGTCGCCGTCTGCAGGAGGAGGACAACGTGACCGGGAGGGGGATGCTAGTCAGGTGAGGCGGCTGTAAGCTAATGTGATAACATTATTTGGCTAGCTTGTTAACTTTTAGCACAACGCATGTAGGCTAGTGTGTCAGTCACACAGGTAGCATGCGAGCGCAGCTTTTCAACACTAAAATTCATCCAGGACAGACTCAGGAGCACTCTCTCTCAGCAGCACCTGGAGGCATTTATGCTCATGGCCACTCAGCAAGATATTTTGAAGATGCTGCATAGTGAGGACATCATAGATGGTGTTGCAGAGAAAAGTGAGCTGCTGCAGAAATTGCTACTTCAGTAAGGTGATGATATGTTTATTATTATGTTATGATCATTATTAGTGTGACTTACATGTTCACCAGTCTTCACACTATTAAGCGACTATTGCAGACTAACATTAAAAATATTACATATTTGCTCTAATCAAGGCCTCAGGTTAAATGATGTGTCATTTTCCCTTCAATAATGTTTACATGTATATTTTTTTGTCTCCCACATATATGTGAACATATTTGTTCCACCACCAGCATCCACCGCCATCATCCACTGCCATCATCCACCACCAGCATCCACCGCCATCATCCACTGCCATCATCCACCACCATCATCCACCGCCAGCATTTGCCGCCATCACTCGCCGCCCCGGCCCCTGAGTGGGCCAGTCAGGTACTAAATTCCCAGGCCTCTTTTTTGCCCCAGTCAGCCCCTGTGTCTTGTTTTGCTTTGCTTCCTTTATGAATATATTTTTGGAATCATACCTGTGAGGGAGCTGGAGAGTATCTCCTTCACTAAGGTGAAAAAACACACATTCATTGACTGTGTAAAGTGGAGTCTAACTGACTGATACAGGAAGTTCATTTTTTGTTATGTTGTGCTTTTGTTTTGGAAAGTCCACTAATCTCTTTCTCTTTGAGGTCTACTTCCAGTGGGCGTGGTTTTCATGGAGTGCACATGAGAGACTACAGCCTCAGGACGTCAGCAGATGTCAATTACCTTGTTAGGCTGTACCAAGTAGTTAGGAAAGAGAGAGGGGGAGTAGGTAGAGTAGATTTTGGTTAGGTTTTGCTGTTGTTATTTCTTTAGTCTGTTAGGTATTTTATGTATCCTGTATCCTGACATAGTCATTTGTATATTGAATATTGGAATGTTGTTCAAGTTAACTTCTAAATGTATGTTTTAATGTTATTGTGGGGGGTGTCTATGGGCCCTTCACAATTTAATGGTGTCAGAGGGGCCAGATGTAAGGGACCAGATGTATACATACTGGGTGTAAGAGCAGTGGGGAGTGTTCGAGAGATGGGGATCAGGTTGAGCGTTACCTCTGCTGCTGGAATCTGCTGTTCCTGAAAAGACTTCTCTCTGTTATCCACCAGCCTGCTGAATGTTTGGTGAGGAATTGTGGAATCTTTTTGTAACCTTGCTTATGGACTCAAGTAACAAATATCGGAGCTCTGGAAAAATCCCTGCTTGTCTGGTGCTGTTCATTCCTTCCACATGCTTTACACCTCAATACCACTGGTTCTCATCCTGATTGTAGGGGTTCACCACCATCAAAACCTTACAATACCTGCTGTCTGTTTAATGTTGCACAAGAGTGAATGAATAGTCAACCTCTGGTATGTCAGGGACTCCAAAATCCTTCAGGCTCTACTGTGGTTATGGTTATTACAGTTTTTCTCGATTGTCAACACACGTTTCTCAATACAATAACGGCTTTCTCAATACTGCACACACAAAACTGAAAACTGCACACACAAAATGCTAAACCTGACACTCCCTTTGCAAGAAGACTCTTGCCATCAAATCTCTACATTGTGTTCACAAAATGGAACTCATGTTTTCATTTGCTACACACAGTCGTATTTTCCAATGACACATACCATTCATTGAACACACACAACTAAGCTTTTGCTGCACACTACCAAGCATTTACAGCACATTGTAGTGCAAAATTGAAAACACTATTGTAAAATGGAACACACCATATGAATGACAATGACTCTGGAAAATAAGATATTTCTCCTTTTGTAAAAATGACTCAGTGTAGCCTACTTTTTTCATAAAACAAACTTACTGTAAAACAGCACACAAATATGCAGCCAAAAATGTCTTTTTATTGTACATGATTGAGGAATCATCATGATCAAGCATCATCATGCCTTCGGTTTCTGTCAGGCCAGAGGGCCTCGTCCACATCACAGGCGATGTTCTCCCTATCTAGACATCTCTGGAAGAACCGCCTTGAGTGGCGCATGAATCCCTGAATGGACTCGAGGCTGACGTCACCACAGGCTTCTTCCATGGCCTGGACGAGTGGGACCTGGGTCTGGGGGTTTCGCTCATACACCTTCCACCTCCAAGCAGAGAAGAACTCCTCTATGGGGTTGAGGAATGGAGAGTACGGCGGGAGGAATAACACCGTAAAATGTGGGTGGGCCTGGAACCACTGACGTACAAGCAGAGCCCGGTGGAAACTCACATTGTCCCAGATGACAACATAATTAATTCTTTGTGGATCATCAGTGTGATCTGGTGGAACAAGTTGTTCGTGGAGGTCATCAAGGAAGGCCAGCAGCAAGTCTGTGTTATAGGCACCAAGATGTACATGGCGGTGCAGGACACCATGGTGATTTATTGCTGCACACATGGTTATGTTCCCACCACGCTGGCCGGGGACCCCAACAATGGCCCGCTGGCCTATGATATTTCTTCCCCTGCGCCTTCTCTTGGCCAGATTAAACCCAGCCTCATCTATGAAAATATATTCATATAGTTCATTCGCCGTATCAAGCTCCTGGATTCGCTGAAACAAAAACAGAGAGAATGCAAGTTACTGTATGGACAGAGAGGTCAAAAGACACTGTAGAAAAGGAAAACAAAATATATTGCTGTACATCACAGGTAGGCTACATTACCTGTATGTCAGTGCTTACTGTAATGTATGGGACTTACAAGCACAAAGTCGCGCCGTAGCTCCTTCACATGGTCTGTGTTTCTTTCGAACGGGACCCTGTAGACCTGTTTCATAGCTAATGAATTCCTCTTGAGGACACGGTCCAGTGTAGACAGGCTGACATTCTGGATCGTATTAAAAGCTGCATTATCTGCTAGGATCTTCTGTTTAATTTGTCTTAGGGTAATTGCATTGTTTTCACGAACCATGTTCACAATTAGGGTCTCCTGCTCTGGTGTGAAAACACGTCTTTTTCCCCCACTGTGAGGTTGTCTTTCGGTCCTGCAAAATATAACTACTGTGAGCACACTGTATTATATTGAAATGCAGTATTGTATTACAGTACACAGTATATACAGTACACAATGTATACAGTACACAAATACATAGTACACAAATGCTGTATTGTTTTACAGTACACAAGACAAATAGATTTATAGTAAAGTATAAACTAGTACCTGTTCTCCATCCTGAATGTTCTTATGATGGCACCAACTGTGAATCGGCTGAGATTGGGCTGGACCCTCAAGCCAGCCTCCCTCATGCTCAAACCATGGTTCAGCACATGGTCTATCACAGTGGCCCGAATCTCATTAGATATAATGGTTCTCCTTCTTCTTACTCCTCCTCCTCTCTGTCCTCCTCCTCCTGCACCTCTCTGTCTTCCTGCTCCTCTCTGTCCTCCTCTTCCTCCTCCTCTCTGTCCTCCTCCTGCTCCTCTCTGTTCTCCTGCTCCTTCTGCTCCTCTCTGTCCTCCTGCTCCAATCTGTCCTCCTCCTCCTCCTGCTCCAATCTGTCCTCCTCCTCCTCCTCTCTGTCCTCCTGCTCCTTCTGCTCCTCTCTGTCTTCCTCCTCCTCTTCTCTGTCCTCCTCCATGTCCTCCTTCTCTCTCTCCTCCTCCATGCCCTCCTTCTCCTCTCTCCTCCCCTCCTTGTCCTCTTTCTCCTTCTCCTTGTTCTCCTCCTTGTTCTCCTCCTCCTCCTCTCACTCTTAGACTTCTCCTTCTCTGGTTGCTCTCTTCAAGGTTCTCCATTGTTCACCAAACACAGAGGAGGAGGCTCAAGGCACTTATATGCTGCAGTCCTGATTGCTAATTGCTCACCAGACCTGAATTTGTTGAGTTTTGAACACTTGTGTGTTGTAGGTTGATACCACTGAGTTGTCACATGAGAAGTGTGTGTAACAACAGAACATTGTGTGTAGTGTTTTGACAACAAGTTAATGTGCAATTGACTGCAGAGTGTATTGTAGGTTGAAGCTTTGAGCTTTTACATGAGAGGTGTGTGCAACAACTGCACATTGTGTGTAGTGTTTAGACAACAAGGTGATGTGCAATTGGCATCAGAGTGTAAAGAAGGAAAGTCAGAGTCTAGGGGAGTCATAAGGGAGTGTGAAGTAGTGACAATTCGGGTCGAGAGAATGGTACGTGAAGTTAAGGTTGTGCAAATTGTGCCAAGGTTTAGATTTTTGTGTGTTAACAATCGTGAAAAACTGTAATTTAATTATTAATCAAAATTCCAAATTGGTAGTACAGTGAACTTTTTGAGACTGATATGACTAATTGGCTATCATTTTTCCCTTTTCGGGAATAGTAATTATTATTAATAATTATTTCAGATAGCCAATTTGAAACTTTAATTGGAGATCTATTACGAGGTCAGGCCCGTGTCAAGGCTTACCAACACATGGTGCCGCCATGTAAAACATAGCGCTGGTGCATAGATCACAACACTTTTCTGTCCCCGTGTGACACATAGTATTGTTATAGATTTCCAACAAATAGTATCCCCACTTTTTATAATACCCAGTATTGTTCCCAACAACTGAAAGACTTTGATGTTACTGTCCTTGCATTTGCTCTCTCTCAATGTGTCTGTGTCTTTACATAGGCCTGGCAAAACTAAAATAGTACATGACAGTGCTGTTCAAAGTACTAGTTCAATCAATCAATCAATCAATCAATCAATCAATCAATTTTATTTATAAAGCCCAATATCACAAATCAGTTTGCCTCACAGGGCTTTACAGCATATGACATCCCTCTGTCCTTAGGACCCTCACAGCGGATAAGGAAAAACTCCCCCCAAAAAACCCTTTAACAGGGGGGAAAAAAACAGTAGAAACCTCAGGAAGAGCAACTGAGGAGAAATCCCTCTTCCAGGAGTTAAAAATCAACATGACTTCATTGAGGATAGGGAGGATATGCTGGGATTACATTGGATTTCGGGAAAATGTTTAGGTTATAAACTATCAGTTCTCAAAAATTGAACCTAAATTAATTGAACAGAGAATTAGGTATATGAACAGTGCACAGCAAACTCAAAAGGGAATTCTGACAAATTTATTTTATTTTGTTTTATTTGTAAATGAAACAAGTCATTTAAGCAGAAGTTCTCTTTAAAATTCTCATATACCATACAGTAAAATTACATGAAAGTTGATATGGACAAAGTGGGGATCACCTAGAACAAGAATCCACTGAAAGATGTATGTAACCTATGAAGGATTTTTTAAATGTATATTTAATATGAGGAAATCATGATATAGTCCAGGGGCCAAGGGGCTAATTTTCACAAATTGGTATCACTTAAAGGGACCAAACAATTTTGGTATTTTCGACTTCCTCTATGTCTTTAGTTTACATTTTGGTATGATAGACCTGCCTATCTAGTAGCTTATTAAAAATTTTTGGATGATCTTTGGGTCCTCCCCAAAATTGAAAATAGTCAAAATTGAGGCTTCTCCAAAAGGGACAGTGTCTGCCTTATCACATGAATCTCGGGAAATAATTATCAGATTGTCACCAAATTTGGACTGAATGTTCACAGACAGCTGCTGCACACAGTGCATCAAAGATTTTATCAGTGCCTTGCTCCTTTTAAAAAATGTATACACCTTAACACACATGAATTATAGGCAGACATGGAATAAGGAATAAAAAATCCAAAAGGCATGTATGTCTTTGCTATTATTAATGTAAGTAAGCCAATCACCCCAACATTGTATTTATACGTGCCAAAGAATGTCATCTTATCATAAAAGTAGGTTATTAGATTATTCACCTCACCATCTGATGTCACCAGCCCCTGACTGGTAACTAGTGCAGCCAGAACTTCAAACAGACAAATAGAATGGGGTCCTATTAGTCCAGGGGCTAAAGGGATAGTTTTCGTAACTTGGTAGGCCCCTATCACCCACGGGGACCAAACAATTTTGCCATTTTTATCTCTCTAAAAGGTCTCTAGTTTATGTTTTGGTATGATAGCCCTGCCTATCTAGTAGCTTAATTATAGTTATCACTCTGTAAATAAACTTACACCTATGTAGGCAAAACACTACAAATAGGGTGAAAAATTAACTAATAGATATTCCCATGTAACATACCCAGTTGATCACTCATATTAAGACAAGTATTTTTTGTATTACAAATTTTCTGAAATTTTTATTTAAATATGCACCAATTTTGTTAATGAAGACAATCACTGTAGAGGCAAATAATGTATCATTTTATACTAAAGGTGAAAAATAAGGTCAGTTACACGAGGTTTAGGAAGCAGCTAGTCAAATATCAGATTTGGCAGCAAAAAGGACCCATAAGAGGTGTTTTGATCGTTTGAGTAGTTTGTGCATAAGTCAAGCCTTGGGAGGTTAAATGAGGGAGAACGTTCTGGGTTAGGGTGACCTGACCATTTGAACAGATGTGCCAAGTTTCGCAATAGGAACGGAATCCAGCTGGATAATAAAATAAATAATGAAAATATGGATAAAACTGGTAGTATAAAGGAAATAACTGGAAAATTACAATTTGCTGGAAAAAAAAAAAAACAGAAAAAGGCTGCAGCCAAATACAGTAATCACCTCATGCGCATGAATCCAAATTGAACAATCTAAAGATACAAATTTTGGATAAGCCAAAGTATTTTTTGTGTGTGTGGAAAACTGTCTACTTGGACGTTATATGAAATACTGTGTAATTGTTTGAACGGTGTGTTGAGCTCATGCGTGAATGTGTGAATTGAAATATAAAAGCGCTGTGTAGATTTGACATGTGATTACTGAGTGTATGGACTGCAGTATGTGTATGTGCCTGTACATGTGTGTGTAAGACTCTGCGCTTAACGCCAAGAGCGCCAAGCAAAAGGGAAATGTTAACCCTTAATTGTAAGAGGGGAGCACCAGGTGTGTTGTATCTGAGAGAAGCGAAAGCTGTGTCCAGAGTGTGAATGTTTTTGTGTTGAAGTAAGACAGAAGAGACTGTGCCTGAGACAATAGTAAAGTTGGAATTTGAGTTGTGTTGAGAGGGGAAAGAAAGAGAGAAAGAAATAAGTAAGTGTGTTGTTTGTCCGAGGCTGGAAGAGAGAAGGAGAAAGTGTGTTTGAGGAAATAGTTGTATAGAGAGTTGGATTTGTGTGGAGAGAAGTTGTCCCATAGCCCTGGACATTAGCCCTGTGAGGCAAATTGTGATTTGTGATATTGGGCTTTATAAATAAAATTGAATTAAATTGAAAATTGAATAGACAGCTGAGAACAGACTGAGGCAGTTATTGATCAGTAAACTAAGGGGGGAGGAGCCTGGGGACACAGACACAGGCTTTCTAAAAATAGTTTAGGTGCACTACAGCACAGTCCCATCAGCCCCTCCTTTCGAGAGTGCCAGCAAAAGTGAAAAGTTTGAGCGTTCTTCTTTTTTTTTTTCCTAGAAACCAAAAAACTTAAAGGGGAGCAAATAGGAAAAGACACATAACAACACATAAGAACACATATTTACATAAAACAATTGAACTACAATCTGAAACAATGTACTCAACACCAGTAGCTCTGGTGGGAAGCAAAAATCCCGACATTTTGAAAGACATCCAGAAAATTTTAGAGAAATGGGAAAAACGAACCAAGGGATTAGAATACCCTTGGCTGAAGGGAGGCACATTTGATATGGTGGTTTGTGAGAGTATGGAAACTAGAATAAGAGATTACAAACAAGTCAAAGAAACATCTAGAAAAGAGAGAATTGGAATTGAAACCTTTGAAGATATTCACTACTTAAAATAACCAGACAGATATAATAATGAACATTATATGGCTCCAATCTTAATAAAGGGGACCCAGGGACATTATATCCCATGGCAGACCCTCGATCTGACCGGCCTGGTCTCCAGACTGGATCAGAGCCTTTTGGATGATAAGTCCCATGGCTGATGGAACTGAGTTTGATGCCTATCGTGGGAAACTGTGGGCAGCACTGAGGGGGGAGTACCCGACACGAGTTGACCCTAAAGCATTGCAGGGTGACCCCTTCACAGAGACTGATAATCCTGCGACATACAAAAACAATCATTTGACAAGATGGAGACAAGAGACTGAGGAAGACATCGGGCAGAGCCAGGTGCTAACGACTCTGTTCATAAACTCAGTCACTGACACGCTCCCCACCCCAGTCCAGAGTAACCTTGGAGACGTAGTGGCACTAGCAACGATGACGCACAGACAATTTTGTGACAATGTGATCCACGCAGTGGAGAGACACAGAAAAGATGAGCAGAGGATGAAGGAGCAGGATAGAGAAGTCCAGAGAAAACTAGCAAAGCTGCAACTAGGCGAGCTGCAGAGCAAGGGCAAAGCTAACACCCAAGCGCCAATTACGGCTGA